ACTTCTTCTCAATAACCAAAAGGCCCAGGGTACTGATATTGGGCCTGTAGCATGCTGGGATGAAGGACTATCAAGTTTGTTCAACTGAATGACCTTGACCAACTTTCAAGGTCACAGGGGTCAAATGTCGTAAAATCTTCAAGCGACTTCTTTTCAATAAGCAAAAGGGCCAGGGTACTGAAATTGGGCCTGTAGCATGCTGGGATGAAGGACTACCATGTAAGTTTAAATGAATGACCTTGATCCACTTTCAACCTAATGTCCTTGTTCGACAATCAAGGTCAGAGGCGTCATATGTTTAAATCTTTTAATAGGTTCTTACGAAATCTTAAGATTACAAGTGTTAGATGAATAACAGGTGAGCGATGCAGGCCCATTGGGCCTCTTGTTTATTGTAATATTGACTGTAACCTAATTTTGTATCAGCATCAGTCAGTGTGTATTGTTAGAGAAACCAGTGGGTCTCCGAGTGTAGTAGACCAAGCATCCGAGTCCAGGGGTTCTTGGAAGTTTGTAAAGCAGCATTTCTCTATTTTTCTTAATTTTGTCAAATATGTGGATATCTTGGTACATTGGTGTTTCCTCTTCTATTTTTGTATGAGATTTAAAAAGCCTGAACTTTGGTGGGGATGTATATACATGCTGTGTGTAGATGGTCCCTTGTTCAATGATTTCTTCCTAGAGGAGGATCATTCTACCCAAGTACGTGTGATTTCCTCCTAGGGGAGGATCATTCTACCCTAGTACGTGTGATTTCCTCCTAGGGGAGAATCATTCTACCCTAGTACATGTGATTTCCTCCTAGGGGAGGATCATTCTACCCTAGTACGTGTGATTTCATCCTAGAGGAGGATCATTCTACCCTAGTACGTGTGATTTCCTCCTAGGGGAGGATCATTCTACCCTAGTACGTGTGATTTCCTCCTAGAGGAGGATCATTCTACCCTAGTACGTGTGATTTCCTCCTAGAGGAGGATCATTCTACCCTAGTACGTGTGATTTCCTCCTAGAGGAGGATCATTCTACCCTAGTACGTGTGATTTCCTCCTAGAGGAGGATCATTCTACCCTAGTACGTGTGTTAGCTTAGGATGATGTCCCCCTAGGATAGTTTCTGTCCTCCCAGGGTAATGCCCCCCTATGCTAAAATGATGCCCTGTTAGGATCCTATAATGATACTAACTGATGCTCTCATCCAGGTTTTTTATTAGCCCAAAATGTCATTTCTTATATTCTTATGCCATATTTACAGATGTGTGTGACCTAGAGTAAGTTATTTATAGCTGTCCTCTGTCTACATCACCATATAGTTACCTGTGTGTGACATAGAGTAAGTTATTTATAGATGTCCTCTGTCTACATCACCATAGTTACCTGTGTGTGACCTAGAGTAAGTTATTTATATCTGTCCTCTATCTACATCACCATAGTTACCTGTGTGTGACCTAGAGTAAGTTATTTATAGCTGTACTTTGTCTACATCAAAGTAGATACCGATGTGTGTGGAATATAGTAAGTTATAGCTGTCCTCTGTCTACATCACCATAGTTACCTGTGTGTGACATAGAGTAAGTTATTTATAGCTGTACTTTGTCTACATCACAGTAGATACAGATGTGTGTGGAATATAGTAAGTTATAGCTGTCCTCTGTCTACATCACCATAGTTACCTGTGTGTGACCTAGAATAAGTTATAGCTGTCCTCTGTCTACATCACCATGGTTACAGATGTGTGTGACCTAGAGTAAGTTATTTATAGCTGTCCTCTGTCTACATCACTATAGTTACCTGTGTGTGACCTAGAATAAGCTATAGCTGTCCTCTGTCTACATCACCATAGTTACCTGTGTGTGACATAGAGTAAGTTATTTATAGCTGTCCCCTGTCTACCTCACCATAGTTACCTGTAAGTGATCTAGAGTTAGTTATTTTTAACTGTATTTTGTCTACATCATCATAGCTATGTTTAGGTGATAGAATGCTATATTTTTAGCTGTTATCTACTAATATTACCATAGTTACCAGTGTTTGACCTATAATTTGTTATGTTTAGATCTGATCTACTAGCATTGCCATTGTAACTGATGTAAAGTATTTTCTCATGTGAATAGATATTGTAAAATATTTGATCTCACAGATAGGTATAAAACGTCTGATCTTACAGACAGGTATAATGAGTGTGATCTCACAGACGGGTATAATGAGTGATCTCACAGACAGGTATAATGAGTGTGATGTCACAGACAGGTATAATGAGTGTGATCTCACAGACAGGTATACGTATAATGAGTGTGATCTCACAGACAGGTATAATGAGTGATCTCACAGACAGGTATAATGAGTGTGATATTACAGACAGGTATAATGAGTGTGATCTCACAGACAGTGTGATCTCACAGACAGGTATAATGAATGTGATATTACAGACAGGTATGATGAATGTGATCTCACAGACAGGTATAATGAGTGTGATCTCACAAACAGGTATAATGAGTGTGGTCTCATAGACAGGTATAACGAGTGTGATGTCAAAGACAGGTATAATGAGTGTGATGTCACAGACAGGTATAATGAGTGTGATCTCACAGGCAGGTATAATGTGTGAGATCTCACAGACAGGTATAATGAGTGTGATATCACAGACAGTCATAATGAGTGTGATATCACAGACAGGTGTAAATAATATGATATCACAGACAGGTAAAATGAGTGATGTCACACAGGTATAATGAGTGTGATGTCGCAGACAGTTGTAATGAGTGATACCACATACAGGTAAAGTGAGTGATCTCACAGACAGGTATAATGAATGATCTCACAGACAGGTATTATGAGAGTGATCTCACAGAAAGGTAAAATGAGTGGGATCAGCTGTGTGTTCTGTGTGACCCATCCTAATACCGATCTGTTATAACTGACATCCCAGCTGTGTATTCTGTGTGACCCATCCTAATACCGATTCATCATAACTGACATCCCAGCTGTGTGTTCTGTGTGACCCATCCTAATCCCGATCTATTATAACTGACATCCCAGCTGTGTATTCTGTGTGACCTATCCTAATACCGATCTATTATAACTGACATCCCCGCTGTGTATTCTGTGTGACCAATCCTTACCCCGATCTATTATATCTGACATCCCAGCTGTGTATTCTGTGTGACCCATCCTATACCGATTCATCATAACTGACATCCCAGCTGTGTGTTCTGTGTTCCTAATACCGATCTGTTATAACTGACATCCCAGCTGTGTGTTCTGTGTTCCTAATACCGATCTGTTATAACTGACATCCCAGCTGTGTGTTCTGTGTGACGGATCAGCTGTGTGTTCTGTGTGACCCATCCTAATCCCGATCTATTATAACTGACATCCCAGCTGTGTATTCTGTGTGACCAATCCTTACCCCGATTTATTATATCTGACATCCCAGCTGTGTATTCTGTGTGACCAATCCTAATACCGATCTATTATAACTGACATCCCAGTTGTGTGTTCTGTGTGACCCATCCTAATACCGATCTATCATAACTGACATCCCAGCTGTGTATTCTGTGTGACCCATCCTAATACCGATCTATTATAACTGACATCCCAGCTGTGTATTCTGTGTGACCCATCCTAATACCGATCTATTATAACTGACATCCCAGCTGTGTGTTCTGTGTGACCCATCCTAATACCGATCTATTATAACTGACATCCCAGCTGTGTGTTCTGTGTGACCCATCCTAATACCGATCTATTATAACTGACATCCCAGCTGTGTGTTCTGTGTGACCCATCCTAATACCGATCTATTATAACTGACATCCCAGCTGTGTGTTCTGTGTGACCCATCCTAATACCGATCTATTATAACTGACATCCCAGCTGTGTGTTCTGTGTGACCCATCCTAATACCGATCTATTATAACTGACATCCCAGCTGTGTGTTCTGTGTGACCCATCCTAATACCGATCTATTATAACTGACATCCCAGCTGTGTGTTCTGTGTGACCCATCCTAATACCGATCTATTATAACTGACATCCCAGCTGTGTGTTCTGTGTGACCCATCCTAATACCGATCTATTATAACTGACATCCCAGCTGTGTGTTCTGTGTGACCCATCCTAATACCGATCTATTATAACTGACATCCCAGCTGTGTGTTCTGTGTGACCCATCCTAATACCGATCTATTATAACTGACATCCCAGCTGTGTGTTCTGTGTGACCCATCCTAATACCGATCTATTATAACTGACATCCCAGCTGTGTGTTCTGTGTGACCCATCCTAATACCGATCTATTATAACTGTTATCCCAGCTGTGTGTTCTGTGTGACCCATCCTAATACCGATCTATTATAACTGACATCCCAGCTGTGTGTTCTGTGTGACCCATCCTAATACCGATCTATTATAACTGACATCCCAGCTGTGTGTTCTGTGTGACCCATCCTAATACCGATCTATTATAACTGACATCCCAGCTGTGTGTTCTGTGTGACCCATCCTAATACCGACCTATCATAACTGACATCCCAGCTGTGTATTCTGTGTGACCCATCCTAATACCGATCTATTATAACTGTTATCCCAGCTGTTCATCCTAATACCGATCTATTATAACTTACATCCCAGCTGTGTGTTCTGTGTGACCAATCCTTAAACGGATTTATTATATCTGACATCCTAGCTGTGTGTTCTGTGATACCGGAATATATCTGCTTGTTCATTGTTGGAATTTTATGTTGTTAGATTTATCCTGGACTTTGTTACTTGATTCAGAAAAGATTTACATCCGTGTTGTATAAGCCTTTGTGATATTTCTGAAATAAATTGTCATTTTAATAAGATATGTAGATGACCAATATATCTCATTATTGTCCTGTGTTGTCTTCTACAATAAACTGACTACTGGTGTACCATTACAAACACGAGTTTGATATCTGTCACCGTATCTACAATAAACTGACTACTGGTGTACCATTACAAACACGAGTTTGATATCTGTCACCGTATCTACAATAAACTGACTACTGGTGTACCATTACAAACACGAGTTTGATATCTGTCACCGTATCTACAATAAACTGACTACTGGTGTACCATTACAAACACGAGTTTGATATCTGTCACCGTATCTACAATAAACTGACTACTGGTGTACCATTACAAACACGAGTTTGATATCTGTCACCGTATCTACAATAAACTGACTACTGGTGTACCATTACAAACACGAGTTTGATATCTGTCACCGTATCTACAATAAACTGACTACTGGTGTACCATTACAAACACGAGTTTGATATCTGTCACCGTATCTACAATAAACTGACTACTGGTGTACCATTACAAACACGAGTTTGATATCTGTCACCGTATCTACAATAAACTGACTACTGGTGTACCATTACAAACACGAGTTTGATATCTGTCACCGTATCTACAATAAACTGACTACTGGTGTACCATTACAAACACGAGTTTGATATCTGTCACCGTATCTACAATAAACTGACTACTGGTGTACCATTACAAACACGAGTTTGATATCTGTCACCGTATCTACAATAAACTGACTACTGGTGTACCATTACAAACACGAGTTTGATGTCTGTCACCGTATCTACAATAAACTGACTACTGGTGTACCATTACAAACACGAGTTTGATGTCTGTCACCGTATCTACAATAAACTGACTACTGGTGTACCATTACAAACACGAGTTTGATGTCTGTCACCGTATCTACAATAAACTGACTACTGGTGTACCATTACAAACACGAGTTTGATGTCTGTCACCGTATCTACAATAAACTGACTACTGGTGTACCATTACACCGGAGAGTCATGGACAGAAACAGGATGTTGAGCCGATTTTGGACGCTGTCTGGTCCCGAGGAAAGATCTTTTAGTACAAATAGTCGTTGTACCACGTCTGGTCCTTACAAAACACACTCGTGAAAAATGTCCAATATTTCCGCAGGAGAAACAGAAACAACTTTTTGTGGGACATGATATCAGATGATTGGTGCTAAATTGGCCACCGCATCTATAACATGATACCATCCCGAAAGTGACTGTTATACACAACGTTATTCTGGCTGATTCCAAAATATGTCGAACACAGTCTTGGTTGGGCTCCAGATCCGTGTGATTCCGAATGAAACTGTAGGTCCGGGTTTTCTTTCGTGAATTGTCTCTTACTCGGGGATACTCGCTTAGAAATGTAGGTTCGGGGATCTTGTACGTAACTTGACTTACACAAATGAATGAGGCAAATTACTCAGGATAACTCCACAAATTAACATAAGTTTTTTTCTGCACGTTTTGTCTTGTTGAAATGATGACGTAAGAGATGATTAAAGTTTAACTTTGAAATTTAATAAGAGATAACTTTTGACTTGACGGCGGGATATTCTGGAGTGTCCAAAATAAACCCGATGTGTTCCGTACAGAGTCTAGAACCTAACTGATTTACAATACAACATATCACAGTTAAATACATGTACGTTCAATAAAATTAAGGAACCTGAGGTTTAAGTGACAGGTGTCGCTAATTGTTAGATCAATTACCCGTGGTCAGTGTCCACAAAGTAAAGGCTGTTACACTAATCCTGTTGCGTAATGTTGCGTAATGTGATGGACAAAAGTAATGAGTTATGAAAGTAAGTTTACAGAGAGTACGTACTATGGGATATACAAACTTCACACATGAGTCTTATCTCAAATGTCACAAAGGATATATAGTAATTACAATTAAGGATAATGCCACATGTATACAGCCAAATTCTGTCTAAATGTCATATAAACGTGTTTTGCATTCATTCGCACTTGAGTTGTTAGATATGGGCAATTCGAAATATAAATTTAATAATAGATGGTAAGATTAAAGTTTTTCATGAATAAGCAATTATTTTCACAATTAATTTCAGCACTAATTTATCACAAAATTTCTGTGTGATATATCAATCCTACAGAATGATACCGCTACTTCTATACACCGAGTGATTGATAGGTTTTCCTTTAATCAAAGTATCGATCCCACAGAATAATACCGCTACATCTATGCACCGAGTGTTTCTGTAACTCTGGGGAAAATAACACTCAGTTGCGTTCATGATCACCTGCCATTTATATATATACAAACTGTTTGACTAAAAATGTTCAATTTACGAAAGCTTCATGTACACAATATGGTTAACAAGTTTGCTACTGAAGTTGTGATACAATAGATAATTCAGTGCAAGAATAATTTAGGTATTTTTTTAGAAAGAAATATTGTTCACAAGTCGGTAACATTTTGTAGACTTGAAGAGTATTTTGATGATAAATATGGGTGTGTGTTACCGGACATGCAAATACAACCCCCACCCCACCTTAAAAGGTAAAAGGCCAGCACTTAAAAAAACTAAGATGGATAATCAGCAAACACTAAAAAAATCACATATATTCGTATCAAATAAAACCCTATGAGAATCATAAGTGTTTTTTTTACATTTGTATTATTGAAGATGGTACCTGTCTTAAATAATAGCCGCTCCCCGTAGAACTCTTTAGTGGCAATCCAACATGGCGGTGTATGTGTAAACAAAAACCTGACGACGGCGAAGTACCTGTGTTTGTCTGTATACGTAGCGGGTAATGTGTCGGATTGTAGGTCATGATTGTTGATGACAACTGTCACATTGAATTATTAAGCAAATCATGGCAGCTCCATCACTATCCCGGGTATTTGTCGATAGGGACGTGGAGACGCACTTGGTGACGGCTAGTGAACGGGGAGAAGTTGGTACGGTACAGAAAATGATGAGGTTGAAAGTCAATCCGAACGTAAAGGATAGCACCGGGATGTATGCAATAACAAAGGCGGCGGCAGGTAAGAGAACTGACAACTTGTCGGCGGTGGATACGGGACACGTTAATGATGTTCTGGTCTCCTCCTTTCAGAAATCCTTAATTGGCCACTGTTACAGTACAGTACCGTAATTATTAAGTTGGTTGCGTTATAAAAATCTCCATTCAGAAGTTGGCAAAAGGTTTTGTTCACACTCGCTCACCATAATTCATTCTTCTTTACTGTCAGTATGTTATTTTACCCATTCAAGATATGTTTGCCTCCCAACTAGATGCGCAGGAAAAAATGAAATCGTCACTTTATATTTGACTTGATTTCTATATTGGTTTTATATACGCATAGACACCCATTAACTTTACGTGATGCTGATGTTTTAATTTCATATCTGTGGTTTGACTAGGTGGCCACGCAGAAATCGTCAAGTTGCTAATAGAGGCTGGTGCCGATGTGAATGTGCTGGTGGGGTCTCTGGTCACACCACTCCATCTGGCTGCCAAGGGTACGTAGTAACAAGTTGATGGTATTTCATAGTCACAACCGTCCATTTCATTATAACAGTTCCACCTGTGGACGTAAATACACAAAAGTATTAAATGTATAAGACTGTACACATTGGATTGAATATTCATATGAAAATCTCAATCTCTGTGGTAGGTAACCATGTGGACGCGGTAAAATACTTGGTGTTGGCCAAGGGAAATCTGGCCGCACAGACGGTGGCGGGGGTGCGCCCGATCGACCTGGCATAAATAAGAATATAAAGCTTTACAACATGTTGATTATATATCTAACCTGTGTTTAATATGCATAAATTAAACTATTTGGTGGGATTGAATGCAGCTTCATCAACAAATTATTTTTCTCTTCTCTTCATAAATTGTATATATATATATTTGTTATGTCTTTTCGGTATCAAGATAAAAGGTTAGAATTTAAACCGTAAGATTCAATTATAATAAAAAAAAAATGGGTATTAGTTGTTGTTTCCCCTAATTTGATTATTAATTTGATAATACCAACTTGTTTATATGTGTTTGTATGTGTTCTAATGTCTATGTCTATGCTTGTACCACTGTTTGTTACTATGTTTGGAGAGGGCTTATATAGGCTATGCCTGCTGCCCAATCCATTTGTCCATTGACAATAACATTTATTGAAATTGAAATTGAATCTCAATCTCTGTGGCAGGTAACCATGTGGACGCGGTGAAATACTTGGTGTTGGCCAAGGCAAATCTGGACGCACAGACGGTGGCGGGGGTGCGCCCGATCGACCTGGCTCGTTACTCCTCAGAGGCGTGGGACGTCATCCGTGACGCCAGGAAAGGCGAAATGCCAGAGGTAGAGGAAATCAGCGAGGTTCCGGAAGTCCCGGAATGGGCACTTCCGGATGGTGCTTCAAAGAAAAAGAAATCGGGGAAGGGAAAGAAAGGAAAGAAAGGGAAGAAGGGAGGAAAGAAAGGTGGAAAGAAAGGAGGAAAGAAAAAGAAAAAATGATACAAACACTTAAGTTACTTTTCAGAATAGATATGGGCAAAATCATACGTCTGTTAAAAAAGTGACTTGCAGGTCATCAAGAAACGAAAACCCATACACTTGACAAGACCAAAACTTCAGATAAATGATCAGTGACGTTGCAACTGATATTAAAGCCTAGCCTGTATTGACTTGTGACGCTGGGTAGGTTTAGTATACTACTGCATGGGTTACCTCCAACCTACATAGTACACAGTGATTGGTTCAGGTTTATACCTATGGGTCATATGTTTATAGTTATGTTTGTTCATTTTCCATAGTTCTATCATTTAGTTGTCACTGCAATACCCTATATAATTAAATTGTTACAAATTGTAACTATTGTTTGGATTTTTGTTTCCTCTCAAATAACAGTTCCACAAATAAGTAGGTAGCACGAAAAACGATGATGAAGTGAGGCCTGAAAAAAGACAAGAACCGTCTCAAACAATAATACTCTGTATGACTTACTCCCATGCCAATACATTTGTATTCTCACATTGAAATAAATGTTACTTCCAACGTTTAAATACATATGACTTTATCATGTTAATTTACTAAACATGGCGCATTTTTGTCAGTCTGTGCCTAAATGGTATAGCAAACTTTAAAAGTCACACATCAAACACAAAATCTGTTTAATAAATATGTCATTAAACGAGCTATATATCGAGAGACAACACTTATACTACATCACAGAATTACTTTATGACATACTGTAGTTATCTGTTTTCGGTCACCAACTGTTGAACACAATGAAGATGACGGTGTTAAATCTCAGACACTGAATTGGAGCGTTTAGAAATGGGGAGGAGGAGGTCCTTAAAATGTGTTCAATGTACATGCAGATAGAATCACTCAGCAGACAAAACTCACTTCGTAAATGTCTATTGCTGGATTGGGCAGCAGGCATAGCCTATGTAAGCCCTCTCCAAACATAGTAAAAAAACAGTGGTACAAGCATAGAAGAAGAGTAGGCGTGATTCTCAGGTCCCTGTGGTCGTGATAACGCCGACCCAAAGGTTAGGATTACGTTTACTTTGGCCGTTAGAATTAGACTCTCTGTATTAGATGTCTAGATGGACTTCAAAATGTGTAGACTTAGCAAATTCTGTAGGTTAGTCTGAAGCGGAGATGTCGTATCCCTCTTCCGAGTCGGGTGTGGTGTTGCTATGCGACTATAGTGTCTCTAGGTCAAACAAAGTTAGGATAAGGCAAAATATTAGGCCTAGGAGTCGCCTTACACAAGTAGAATTATTAATTATGTAGCACAAGTAGGACAGACGTTTCCTTCTCTCCTCTATCATCCTTACTACATACGTTATCCCTCCTTCTCATTTTCCTGTCTTTTCTTCGTCTGCTGGATAATCGAACTACTCGGTAATAAAGCGGACATAACTTGAACCACTCAAACAAACAAACAAACAAACATGAAGTATATGGTCAAGAGTCCAATGAATTTACGGGCGTGACGTGTACTTTGGCTCTATCTGCTTGCTGCATATGACATGAATGGTTACAGGAAACTCTAACCAACGAAAGGCTGCAATGGCTAACACGACTTGGAACCACAATAGCACAAAGCCACTCCGAGGCTCTGACCAACAACCTAAATCAACAGGTGATGTCATATAAGTGTAGGCCTACACGACAACGAGTGGTGTCTAGGATTGAAACTCCGCGGCTCTGGCCAACAACCTAAAACAAGATGTCATATAAGTGTAGGCATGCACGACAACGGGTGGTGTCTAGGATTGACACTCCGAGGCTCCGGCCCACAACCTAAATCAAGAGGACATTCAAGTGTAGGCCTACACGCCAACGAGTGGTATCTAGGATTGAAGCCCAATGAATTTACGGGCGTGACGTGTACTTTGGCTCTATCTGCTTGCTGCATATGACATGAATGGTTCCAGGAAACTCTAACCAACGAAAGGCTGCAATGGCTAACACGCCTTGGAACCACAATAGCACAAAGCCACTCCGAGGCTCTGACCAACAACCTAAGTCAAGAGGTCATATAAGACATAACTTGAACCACTCAAACAAACAAACAAACATGAAGTATATGATCAAGAGTCCAATGAATTTACGGGCGTGACGTGTACTTTGGCTCTATCTGCTTGCTGCATATGACATGAATGGTTCCAGGAAACTCTAACCAACGAAAGGCTGCAATGGCTAACACGACTTGGAACCACAATAGCACAAAGCCACTCAGAGGCTCTGACCAACAACCTAAGTCAACAGGTGATGTCATATAAGTGTAGGCATTCACGACAACGAGTGGTGGATAGGATTGAAACTCCGAGGGTCTGGCCAACAACCTAAAACAAGATGTCATATAAGTGTAGGCCCACACGACAACGAGTGGTGGATAGGATTGAAACTCCGAGGCTATGGCCAACAACCTAAATGAAGAGGGCATATAAGAGGAGGCCTACACGACAACGAGGGGTGTCTAGGATTGAAATCCGAGGCTCTGGCCAACTACCTAAATCAAGAGGTCATATAAGTGTCGGCCTACACGACAACGATTGGTGTCTAGGATTGAAATCCGAGGCTCTGGCCAACTACCTAAATCAAGAGGTCATATAAGACATAACTTGAACCACTCAAACAAACAAACAAACATGAAGTATATGGTCAAGAGTCCAATGAATTTACGGGCGTGACGTGTACTTTGGCTCTATCTGCTTGCTGCATATGACATGAATGGTTACAGGAAACTCTAACCAACGAAAGGCTGCAATTGCTAACACGACTTGGAACCACAATAGCACAAAGCCACTCCGAGGCTCTGACCAACAACCTAAGTCAAGAGGTCATATAAGTGTAGCCCTACACGACAACGAGTGGTTTCTAGGATTGAAATCCGAGGCTCTGGCCAACTACCTAAATCAAGAGGTCACATAAGTGTAGGCCTACACCACAACGAGTGGTGTCTAGGATTGCACCTCCGAGTCTCTGGCCAACAACCTAAAACAAGAGGTCATATAAGTGTCGGCCTACACGACAACGAGAGGTGTATAGGATTGAAATCCGAGGCTCTGGCCAACATCCTAAATCAAGAGGTCATATAAGGGTAGGCCTACCACGACAACGAGTGGTGGATAGGATTGAAACGCGTCAGATTTACTTAAATTGTGGCAGGAATATTTCGAAAAACATGGTACCAGGGGGGATTCCAAAAAAACTTTACACACAACATTCAACCATTGTAATAAGGGAAAACTTCTTTTCTCTACGAAAAGTACATTATGGAACAGTCATCCATAGGATGTGATATCAGCACCATCAATAAACATGTAGGCCTACACGACAAGGAGTGGTGTATAGGATTGGAACTCCGAGGCTCTGGCAAACAACCTAAATCAAGACGTCATATAAGTGTAGGCATGCACGACAACGGGTGGTGTCTAGGATTGACACTCCGAGGCTCCGGCCCACAACCTAAATCAAGAGGACATTCAAGTGTAGGCCTACACGCCAACGAGTGGTATCTAGGATTGAAGCCCAATGAATTTACGGGCGTGACGTGTACTTTGGCTCTATCTGCTTGCTGCATATGACATGAATGGTTACAGGAAACTCTAACCAACGAAAGGCTGCAATGGCTAACACGCCTTGGAACCACAATAGCACAAAGCCCCTCCGAGGCTCTGACCAACAACCTAAGTCAAGAGGTCATATAAGGGTAGGCCTACACGACAACGATTGGTGTCTAGGATTGAAACCCCGAGGCTCTGGCCAACTACCTAAATCAAGAGGTCATATAACTGTAGGCCTACACGACAACGAGCGGTGTATAGGATTGAAATCCGAGGCTCTGGCCAACGACCTAAATCAAGAGGTCATATAACTGTAGGCCTACACGACAACAAGTGGTGTATAGGATTGAAACGCGTCAGATTTCCTTAAAAAAGCCCCTCCGAGGCTCTGACCAACAACCTAAATCAAGGGGTCATATAAGTGTAGGCATACACGACAACGAGTGGGGTATAGGATTGAAACGCCGAGGCTCTGGCCAACACACTAAATCAAGAGGTCATATAAGTGTAGGCCAACACGACACCGAGTGGTGTCTAGGATGGAAATCCGAGGCTCTGGCCAACTACCTAAATCAAGAGGTCATATAACTGTAGGCCTACACGACAACGAGTGGAGTATTGGCATGAAAATCCGAGGCTCTGGCCAACTACCTAAATCAAGAGGTCATATAAGGGTAGGCCTACACGACAACGATTGGTGTCTAGGATTGAACCTCCGAGGCTCTGGCCATCAACCTAAATCAAGAGGTCACATAAGTGTAGGCCTACACGACAACGAGTGGTGTATAGGATTGAAACGCGTCAGATTTCCTTAAATTGTGGCAGGATTATTCCGAAAGACATGGTACCAGGGGGCATTCCAAAAACACTTTACACACAACATTCAACCATTGTAATAAGGGAAAACTTCTTTTCTCTACGAAAAGTACATTATGGAACAGTCTTCCATAGGATGTGATATCAGCACCATCAATAAACACTGGATTGGTCAGGAATTATTTATAATTACAGAGCTGCCCATACCCGAACTTGCATATATGTGTTCATGAATACATATATATTAAAAAAAAATAAAAAAAAATAAGTCCGGTGAAGAGGATCATATAGATCTTGTATCGGAAAATAAACTAAACTAAACCAAACAAACAACCCCGTACAGGCTCTAACAAATGACACTAACAAAGATGTTACAGGAAATAACCACATGTTACCCGACAATCCTTAATCCACTGACACCAGTCTAACATAACTACAGCAACTACTGTTATTGTTCTGCTGGTGTGCTCATTACGTATCAGCAACTACTGTTATAGATCTGCTGGTGTGCTCATTACGTATTAGCAACTACTGTTATAGGTCTGCTGGTGTGGTCATAACGTATCAGCAACTACTGTTATAGGTCCGCTGGTGTGCTCATTACGTATCAGCAACTCCTGTTATTGGTCTGCTGGTGTGCTCATTACGTATGATCAACTACTCTTATTGGTCTGCTGGTGTGCTCATTACATATCAGCAACTACTGTTATAGGTCTGCTAGTGTGCTCATTACGTATCAGCAACTACGGTTATAGTTCTGCTGGTGTGCTCATTACGTATCAGAAACTACTGTTATAGGTCTGCTGGTGTGGTCATAACGTATCAGCAACTACTGTTATAGGTCCGCTGGTGTGCTCATTACGTATCAGCAACTCCTGTTATAGGTCTGTTTGTGTGCTCATTACGTATCAGAAACTACTGTTATAGGTCTGCTGGTGTGCCCATTACGTATCAGCAACTACTCTTATTGGTCTGCTGGTGTGCTCATTACATATCAGCAACTACTGTTATAGGTCTGCTAGTGTGCTCATTACGTATCAGCAACTACTCTTATTGGTCTGCTGGTGTGCTCATTACATATCAGCAACTACTGTTATAGGTCTGCTGGAGTGCTCATTACGTATCAGAAACTACTGTTATAGGTCTGCTG